AAGAGCGTCTTTGCTGCTTGGCAGCGAGTTGCTAAGTATCTTGGTTATGTCTCTACCCTTCTCAGGAAGGCATTTTTTTTTTATAACTTCATCATAGTTCATCTGTGTATATACTATAGAATATCCAGCTAGCTGGACATTGGGTTGTTTCTAATCTTTTGTTATTACAATACTGCAGTGAATATGCTTGTATAATGTCATTTGATGTAAGTGTAGATAAATTTGTATGATAGATTCTTAGGGGTAGAATTGTAGGCAAAAGGGTAAATGGATCTATAATTATTAAATCGCTACCATATTCCTTTCTAGGAGGTATATCCTTTATACTCCGACCAGCAAAATACAGGAGGACTGTTTTCCTCATGCTTGGTCCATCTTGTGGATTTTGTCAGTCTGATAACAAATGGTTATCTCAGTGCCTTTAATGATTGCTTCTTGTGCTATGCCTGAGTTTGAGCTTTTAACATGTTTTAAGGATCCCATATGTGTTTCTTTGTATGTACCATGAATTTTGCCCATTTTTCCATTAAGTTGTTGAGCTTTTTCTTGTTTTTGGTGCCCTGACATAAGAGAGTAGTTCTTTGCAATTGAGTTATAAATATTTTTTTCATCTTTATCTTTTGACTTTGCTTATGGTATTTTTTGCCGTGTAGGAATTTTTTTTTTAAATAGTTGAATATATCACTTTCCTGTGGTTTCTAGATGTTTTAAGTCACAAGGCCATTCCCACTCCATTGTTACATAAAGGAATCATACTTATTTTCTTCTAATGTTTTCACAAAGTCTCCTCTCCCTTTTATTATTTAAATATTTTGATCTACTTGAAGTTTATTCTGGTGGGTAGTGTGAGGTACAGACTGCCTTTTTTTTTAACTATTGATTCAGTGATTTAAGCATTGTAGTTTATTTATATTAAATTATTTAAACACGGTCATTTATTTATAGCCAGTAAGGCCCATCTCTACGTTTTTCTTTATCTTTTATTTTTCTGGCTATTCTTACTTGTTTATTGGGGAGTTGGGGAATAGAGAGGCAGAAATAGGTTTGTTTTTTTGTTATTTTTTTAATATATAGTTTTGTTTTCTAATTTTTTGTCTTTTCATAATAGAGCATGTGTGTGCACACATGTAGGAGAGAGAAGAGAGAGAGAGAAGAGCACCTTCTCACCTAGAGAATGATCCCCATTCTCCAGTCCTCTAGCCTGTCAGATCCGGGACACTCACACATGTGCCCAATGTTTCAGCTGACTGGTCAGGGTTGCCATATGGGATTTGTTTTTTCTTGAGCAGCACAAGACTGTTGTGTCACAAAGCCAGTCCACGAAACAGGTATTTTGGACAGGGTCTCATTGTGTTGTGATTTTTCTACCCCAGGCTCCCAGTTAACTAGGTGGACACAGCCATGCCTGGAGAGTCAAGTTGGCCTGGGAATTAAACCTTTGCCTCCCATATGGCTTCCAGGCTTCAAGTAGCGGTACCACCTGGATGGTGGCACAAGCAGTAGAGGCGCTGCTGCATGTTGCTGGAATCCCTATGAGAGGGTACTCTCATGATCCTGGCTGGTTGTAGGGCTCAGAGTGGTGGACACGGTAAAGATCATGATGTGAGGGTCTTGTCAGTCTCTTTTAATGGAGGAAATAATTTAAATAAATGAATTTTTTTTTTTAAGACAGATAACCAGTTGTAGGGAGAAAAAAAGAAAAGCTTGGCTACTGAGAGGGTTCCAGGTTTGCATCCCTGACCTCCCTGCGCACACTGGGCACTCTCATGATCCTGGCTGGTTGTAGGGCTCGGAGTGGTGGACATGGTAAAGATCATGATGTGAGGGTCTTGTCAGTCTCTTTTAATGGAGGAAATAATTTAAATAAATGAATTTTTTTTTTTAAGACAGATAACCAGTTGTAGGGAGAAAAAAAGAAAAGCTTGGCTACCACAATTTTGGGAGAAGCTTAGGGACCATGTTACATTTGTGAATTAACTTACTAATAATTATTTCTTTGATCTTTGAGTTTTCTATCAAAGTGTTAGGTACTCTTTCTTTCTTTTTTTTGAGAGGTTTTTGCTATAGGGTACGTGCGCTCGCCAGACAGACAGAGAGAGACAGAGAGACAGAAAGCGGGATGTCACCCCCCAGAGGGGATGGCCACACCACAGTCCATTCTCCTCTCGGGTTCTTGGGTGTGCATGCACACTTGCCTGGCTTGAGTTTTAAGCCACCGGGTGCGGGACATGAACCATGGTCGACTATGTGGGAGTCCAGCGACATAGCCATTATGCTAACTGCTGGTCCCTGTCCCTGTACTTTTTTAAAAAAAAATATCAGATCCTGTTCGTGATTGATCCTACTGCCTCAGCCTCCCAAGTAACCAGGACATACACAACCATACCCAGTTTTCGGGGCGGGGGCACCAGGAATCAAACTTGGTCTTACTGGATGGCTTAGTCTGCAGAGTAGTAGCTTCTGCCAGCATACACAACTATGACTGGGTTCGGTTTTTTTTTTTTTTTGAGAGATTTTCGCCATAGGGCGCGTGCGCTCACCAGACAGAGAGAGACATAGAGACAGAAAGCGAGAAATCACCCCCCAGGGGGGATGATCACGCCGCAATCCCTTCTCCATTCTCCTCTTGGGATCTTGGGCACTCACGCACATGCGCCCGGTGTGAGTTTTAAGCCACCGGGTCCGGGACGCGAACCGTGGTCGACTACGTGGGAGTCCAGCAACATAGCCATTACGCTAACTGCTGGTTCCCCAGTTTTAGGTGCTTTGATGATAGGATAGGAGAAGGTAGGAACCAACAATTGATATAAATCAGTAACTAATATCAGAATAATTTTCTTTGCAGTTCCTTATATCTCCTATTTCAGTATTTTTGCACTTCATGCTTTACAGAACAAAATTATATGCCATGAAGACAGGAAGAAATACTGTAAGACTTCAGCTAAAATTGAATAGTTATGCCAATTTTATGTATTTATTGCTATTAGGTGAAAGTTTTATTTGTGAGAAACTTGGCTACTACAGTGACGGAAGAAATATTGGAAAAGTCATTTTCTGAATTTGGAAAACTTGAAAGAGTAAAGAAATTGAAAGATTATGCATTTGTTCATTTTGAAGACAGAGGAGCAGCTGTTAAGGTAGAAATTTTGAAACTATGCTTTTTAATATTTGTGTTTTGTTGCTGAAACTTAGAAAACTTGTGACTTCACACCTGAAATAAAGTTGGTTTTTTAGCTTTTGCTGTACTCTGGAACTTTCTTTTAATCTTTGTAAAGTTATATAACAAGTGAGACTTCATATTTCAAAACAGATTATTTCTGAGTTTGTGACCTTAGGCAAGTTATATTTAATCTTTATTTATTTATTTTTTTGGAGAGGTTTTTTGCTATAGGGCACATACGCTCGCCAGACAGACAGAGAGAGAGACAGAAAGCGAGAAATCACCCCCCCAGAGGGGATGGTCACACCGCAATCCCTTCTCCTCCATTCTCCTCTCGGGATCTTGGGCACGCACACACACGCGCCCGGCGTGAGTTTTAAGCCACCGGGTCCGGGACACGAACCATGGTCGACTACGTGGGAGTCCAGCGACATAGCCATTACGCTAACTGCTGGTTCCCAATCTTTATATTTTTTTTGTAAACCTAATATTTGATGGCATGATACCTTAGACTATTACAAGGTACGAGTTACCTGCCATAAATACAGAACTTAATGAACTTTAATTGCTTTATTTTATCCCAGTTTTGTGGACCTATGAAAGAAACAGTGTACAAAACTTTATATGCACTACAGCGTCTATTTAACTCAGTAGATATGTTTGAGAGTGTGGTCAGTTCTTCATAGTTTTGTCATTAGTCATTTTAGTTAGAATAGTATTGATTATGTTTTGCTGATTTCAATAATTTTTAGAGCTATTTCTTATATGTGTTAATTTATGCCTTGATAATAAGGAAAGGTATGAAAAAAATGTATATGGTATCTAATACAGAAAACCTGAATACTCTGCTGCTTTCTGTTGATAATGAATCAATACCTTATTTAATGGATATAATTAATCCAGTTACTTCTTTTGTTTTTCTTTCCTGTATGGAGAAACAAGATGAAACAGTAATGTATTTTTATATGACTATGAAGGTGGATTCAAAATGCTCAGTGGCTTTAGGCTTGGTTCTTTTCCTGTATGTTCTGTTGGTGGGATATTTCCACCTGTGATTTGAGCATTGGTTTATTTTCTGCCCAGGCTACTGCTTTAAAGCAGGCCTTACAGAATCTTTGACTAGTGTCAAATTAATTGATTTGCCTATTGATAGAAGCTAATTAGCGAGGCAGTGTTTCTCATAAAATTTATGGCTTAGGTACCAGCAGGTGGCACAATGTTGCTGGATGCCCATATGGCCTTCCGCTGTTTGAGGCTTAAAACTCACACTGGGCACATGTGTACGGGTACCCAAAGTCCCAAGAGGAGAAGGGATTACAGCATGGTCATCCTCCTGTGAGGGGTGATTTCTCGCTTTCTGTCTCTCCAGTGAGCACATACACCCTATAGGAAAAATCTCTCTTAAAAAAAAAAAAATTACAGGACCAACAGGGGATGTAGTGGTTAAAGTGCTGGACACTCCTACATGGCCGACCACGGTTCAGGACCCAGACCTGGTGGCTTGCCTTCTCATTTTCCCTCTCTTTGTGTGTCTATTGCTCACTGGTCAAATGAAAGTAAATGCATGAATAAATAAATAATTATTTTTTAAGAAAAATTATAGCTTAGTACAGAATTTAATGTTTGGCATCTAAAATTTCCAGTGGTATAGAGCACAGATAACTAATAAATGTAAACTTTCTAAATATTCCTTTTAATTCTTTTGGTAGCTGGTTGTATTCCAAATGAGAATAAAAATAGGATGGTTTTCTTAAAAAGTCTATGAAATTTTAAAGTTTATAGTTCAGGAAATAGTAGTCACCCTCTTCAGAATAGGCAGGGCAGAGAGGAGATGTTCCTTTGTTTTGCTTATACCAGGGACCTTTTGTGGACTTGTTTAGTTGCTTTAGCTAAAGCAGCCCAAAGGTGGAGTGGTAAAAAGGGAAAATTGAAAATCTGGAGGACTAATTTAATTTTTGTTTAGATACTGAAAATCCTTTATAGTTAGAACATTTTATTATGTATGCTCAGAGGGAAGAAAGGTTGTATAGAGGAACCAAAAATACAGAGAGGGAGTGACATTTTGTTATTGAGTTCTCAGACCTTACTGTGTGACAGAAGTTGTCCTGTGGAACAATATGAATAAAGGACTAGAGTACAGAATGCTCAGGTACTGCTTTCAGGGTGTTTGCTGGGGCCTCTCTGTCTAGGCCTTTTTGGAAGCTCTTTTTTTTTTTTTTAGGAGATTTTTGCTGTAGGGCGTGTGCACTCACCATAGAGAGAGACAGAGACAGTGAAAGGGAAAATGAGAGATTACCCCACAGGGGGATGGCCATGCCGCAGTCCCTTCTCATCCATTCTCCTCCCAGGGTCTTGGGCACATATACACATGCTCATGGTGTGAGTTTGAAGCCATTGAGTTTGAAACTTGAATCACAATTGGCCATGTGGGAGTCCAGTGACATAACTGCTATGCCATCTGCTGGTCCTGGGGCTCTGTTTCTTTTTTTTTAACTGTTAAGGCAAGCTATTGTCCAGGTTAAATGTTGTGAGGAAAACCTAGGCTTTTTTTGTGGGTCAGTATCCTGTTGAATTTAATTGATAACCTCACTCAGTAACCTGATTTATGTTTCAAGGTCTTGGAATTGTGTAAGAACTGTGGAAGAACCTATATATTGAATGCCACATTTTTAAAAAATTGGATCCTGAAAGATTTAAATAATTTTGGTCTGGTTTGTATTAATACTGGCATTTGCTCCTTGTGTGGATTTGCATCTTTGATATGGCAAAATTTAAGAAGTTAGTTAGAATTAAGGAGCAGCACTAGGCAGCTTTTTATTATTATTTTTGTAGAAAGATTTTTGCTATAGGGTTTTGTGTGCTCACCAGAGAGGCAGAGAATGAGAAATCATCCCCCAAGGGGGATGGGCATACCACAGTCCCTTCTCTTCCAGGCTCCTCTTGGGATTTGGGGCATGCATACACATGCACACAGCATTTATTTTAAACTACTGAG